GAGATCCCTCAGATGCGGACGGTGTTGATGCGCAGCGGCTGCACGTTCTTGCCGTTGGCGTGGCTCTGCCCGGGGCTGAAGTAGGAGCAGAGCTTGCCGGGAAACCTCTCCCGGAAGGTGTAGAGCCAGGACATGTCGTCGGCGTTGTAGAAGATGAGCAGCCCCTTGTCGTAGTCCAGGAAGACGCCCACCTTCTCCAGCTTGCCCTTGACGTTGAGCCGCGTCCAGGGCTCGGTGCAGGCGCTGTACTGGTTGCCGTCGTGCATCACGATGCAGTAGAAGCCGCGGCTGGGCAGGATCTGGATGCTGCCCTTGCGGCTCACGGCCTCGTGCGCCAGGCCCAGCACCCACTGGGTCTTCTCGGACACCACCACCTCCCAGTAGTGCACGCCGGCGCCGAAGGCCTGCGCGCCCAGCACCGACACCTCCACGTCGAAGCGCTTGGGCGAGTCCTGCAGCGGCTGCGGGTGCAGGTTCCCGTAGGCCACGATGGTGCAGTCGTCCGACAGGATGAGCCGGTGGTGGGCAGTGCCCGGGTCCAGGGTCAGCGCGGCGGGCACTGCGGGGCAGGGAATGGGGTCAGCGCGGCCGGCTCTGCCCCGACGGTGTGGGGACCGCGGGGCGGGTCATGGGGGCTGCCAGCCCTCAGATCCCTCGGCAGTGTGTCACTGGCCCGCCCTGGTGTGCCCCCACCCCTCACCAGTGACATCCCCATCCCTCCCTGGTGTGTTCCTGTCCCTCATCAGGGACGCCCCTGTCCCTCACTTGTGTGTCCCCATCCCTCACCAGTGACATCCCCATCCCCATCCCTCTCCAGTATGCCCCTGTCCCTCACCAGTGACATCCCCATCTCGCTCCAGTATGCCCCTGTCCCTCACTGGTGTGTCCCTGTCCCTCACCAGTGACATCCCCATCCCGCTCCAGTATGTCCCTGTCCCTCCCTGGTGTGTTCCTGTCCCTCATCAGGGACGCCACTGTCCCTCACTTGGGTGTCCCCACCCCTCAACAGTGACATCCCCATCCCTCCCTGGTGTGTTCCTGTCCCTCATCAGGGATGTCCCTATCCCCATCCCTATCCCCCTCCAGTATGTCCCTGTCCCTCACTGGTGTGTTCCCATCCCTCACCAGTAACATCCCCATCCCAGTCCCCATCCCCGTCCCTCTCCAGTACGCCCCTGTCCCTCACCAGTGACATTCCCACTCCTGTCCCTCCCTGCCGTGTCCCCACCCGTGCCCAGTGCCATCCCCATCCCCGCTCCCGGCCGTGCCCTCACCGGGATGGATGTCCTGGAAGAGGGATTTCCAGATGGTAAACTGCAGGGGGCCCATGTACTTGGAGGTGGGGAAATCCTCGTACGTCAGGTTGGTCTCGTGGATCTTCCCCTTCAACCTGCGCGGCACAGACGGCGTCCCCAGTGTCACCACCGACCTCGGCGACACCAGCGTGCCCCCAGTGCCCCCGTGGCACCCACCTCTCAGACAGGGAGGCCACTCCGGCCAGGAAGACGTGTTTGTCGGCCTCTGCCAGGCGCTCCTGCAGGATCTGGGTGCCCTCCTGCACCTTGCGCAGCTGGTGGCTGTAGCGCTGGATCTTGTGCTCGATGTCCGAGAGCGTCCGCGCCGTGTCGGCCTCCAGCTCCTCCAGCATGGCCTTCTGGCGCTCCCGCAGCAGCCGGTGCAGCCGCTCGAACGCCTCCCCGATCGTCACCCGCAGGCTCTTGGCTGATGACTGGGGGGGTAAACGAGGTTAGCAGGGGCCATGAGCTCCCAAAGAACCCTCGGAGGAAGGAACCTCCCAAAGAACCCTCAGAGAAGCCAAAAAGAACCTCCCAAAGAACTCTCAGAGAACCTGAAAAGAACGTCTCAAAGAACCCTCAGAGAATCTCCCAAAGAACCTGAAAAGAAGCTCCCAAGGAACCCGAAAAGAAGCTCCCAAGGAACCCGAAAAGAAGCTCCCAAAGAACCCGAAAAGAAGCTCCCAAAGAACCTGAAAAGAAGCTCCCAAAGAATCCTCAGAGAACCCGAAAAGAACTTCCCAAAGAACCCTCACAGAACCTCCCAAAGAACCCGAAAAGAACATCCCAAAGAACTCTCACAGAACCTCCCAAAGAACCCTCACAGAACCTCCCAAAAAACCCTCACAGAACCTCCCAAAGAACCCTCACAGAACCTCCCAAAAAACCTCCCCAAGGAACGTAAAAGACTCCTAAAAGAAGCCTGAAAGAACTTCCCCAAAGAACCTTGAAAAGAGAACCCTGAAAGAACCTGGCAAAGAACCCTAAGAAATCCTAAAAGAACCTCCCGAAGAACCTTGCAAAGAACCCTAAGACCACCCTAAAAGAACCTCCCAAGGAACCTTAAAAGAACCTCCCCAAGAAACCTAAAAGAACCTTGAAAGAACTTCCCAAAGAACCTTGTAAAGAACCCTAAGACAACCCTAAAAGAATCTCCCAAGGAACTCTAAGAAATGCTAAAAGAACCTGCCAAAGAATCTTAAGACTGCTCTAAAAGAACCTCCTGAAGAACCTTGCAAAGAACCCTAAGAGAACCCTAAAAGAACCTCCCAAAGAACCCTAAGACAACACTAAAAGGAACTGCCACAGAAACTCCCAAAGAACCTTAAGAGAACGTCCCCCAGAAGACTAAAAGAACGTCATAAAACCCCCTAAAAGAACTCTCAAAGAACCTCCCAAACACTTAGAGAACTCTTAAAGGACCTCTAAAAAGAACCCTGAAAGAACCTTCTGAAGAACCTTGCAAAGAACCCAAAGATCACCTTAAAAAAACCTCCCCAAGGAAGCTAAAAAACCCCTAAAAGAACCCTGAAAGAACTTCCCAAAGAACCTTGAACCTTAAGAGAACCCTGAAAGAACCAGGCAAAGAACCCTAAAAGAACCCTAAGAGAACCTCAGAAAAACCCCTAAAAAAGAACCTCCCCCCAAAAAAACCTGAAAAAATCTCCCCAAACAATTTTAAAGAACTCTAAAGGAATCCTTAATAAACTTCTAAAAAGACCCTCTAAAAAACCCTAAAAGAACCCTGAAAGAATGTCCAAAAAAACTTTAAAGAACTGTCAAAGGACCTCTAAAAGGACCTTCTAAGAAAACCAAAATAACCGTAATAGAACCTCCAAAAAAACCTTTAAAATTCTTAAAGAACCTTTAAAAAGATCCTCAAAAAACCCTAAAAGAATCTCCTAAAAAACCTTTAAAGAATTCATAAAAGACCTCTAAAAAAGACCTTCTAAAAAAACCCAAAAGAACCCTGAAAGAACCTCCCCCCAAAAAACCTCTAAAAAGACCCGCTAAAAAACCCTAAAAAAAAAAAAATCTCTAAGCCCCTCTAATAAACGCTGAAAAAAACCTCAAAATCCCCCTAAGAAAACCCTAAAAAAAACCCAACAAAAACAACTAAATAACCCCTAAAAACCTTAAATCCTAAAAAAAAACCCAAAACCTCCCCAGTCACTGGTGGCGATGGGGAGAAAACTGCCCCTGCCTGGGAGCTGAGCAAGGAGATAATCAACGAGATTAATTAAAAAGATAAATTAAAACACTAAAGAAGGAAATCCCAGAGGGCTGAGCAGCCCCGCGGGGGGGGTTTTGGGGAGCACCCCCCTTCCCCCACGGGTGGGTTTTGGGGTGCCAGAGAAAGGGGGCAAATCCATGAGGAGTGTTTGGGGTCCCGGAATGAGGTTGGTGAGGGGCAGGGTTGGTCATAGCAGGGTGGGGTGACCCCACTGATGGTTTTGGGGGAGAGTGGAGGGCTGGGGGCACAGAGTGGGGGGCACAGGGGGGTCCCCTCACGTACCTTGGTCTCTGCCAGCTGCTTCTTGAGGAGCTGCAGGGCTTCGGTGTGGCCGCGCTCGCTCTCCTGCAGCCCCTGGAGCTGCTCCTTCAGCTCCCGCTGGAAACACGGCACGAGGGGATTTAGGGAATGACAGGGATCCCACACAGGCAGCTGTCCCACCCAGCTGGGGGGTTATGGGGTGGATGGCCCCGGGGGGATCCTGCCCAGGGAAGGGTTTAGGGGGGTCCTGCCCGAGGGGCAGCTCAGCAGGGCCTTGGGGGGGTCCCAAGGACTCCCACGGGAAGGAGAGAGAGAGAGGTGGAGGGAGGGAAGGAGGGAAGGAGAGAGAGAGAGAAGCGAGGGAGGGATGGTGGAAGGAGGGAGGGAGGGATGGGTGGATGGACGGATGGATGAATGGATGGATGGAGGAAGGGAGGGATGGAAGGACAGGCGGATGGAGAGATGGAGGGAAGGAAGGAGGGATGGAAGGATAGGTGGATGGAGAGATGGAGGGAGGGAGGGAGGAAGGGAAGGAGGGATGGAGGGAAGGAAGGAGGGATGGCAGGATAGGTGGATGGAGAGATGGAGGGAAGGAAGGAGGGATGGCAGGATAGGTGGATGGAGGGAGGGAAGGGTAAAGGGCACAGGGTGACCCCAACAGGGCATAAAGGGCCATGGGACAGACAGATGGACATGAGGAGGGCACAGAACTGACCCTGATGGGGACAGGAGGGGTGAAGGACAGACAGACAGACATGAGGAGGGCACAGAGCTGACCCTGATGGGGACAGGAGGGGTGAAGGACAGACAGACAGACATGAGGAGGGCACAGAGCTGACCCTGATCGGGATAGGAGGGGTGAGGGACAGACAGATGGCTGGACAGGAGGAAGGCTGACCCTGACCCTGAAGGGGTGTAGGGACACAGGGACAGGAGGAAGCCCCTGGACTGACCCCACAGCTTCAGAAGGGACAGAGGGACAGGCACCAACACCGAGGGGAGAGGGACCAGCTGGGCAAAGCAGCCCTGAGGAGCCACCTGGGGCAGGGAACCCCCACCCAGACTGACCCTCCACAACCCACCTGCAGCTCAACCACAACCCCCTTCAGCTCATCTGCAGCTCCTCCACCATGACCCACCTGCTGTTCCCTCATGGCCTGATCTTCCACAACCCCCACCTGCAGCTCCTCAACCATCAACCACAACTCACCTGCAGCTCCACCACAGCCCACCTCAACCACAACCCACCCACCTGCAGCTCCTCACCTCCAGCTCCTCAACCAAAACTCATCTGCAGCTCCTCACCTGCAGCTCCCCAACCATGACCCACCCACAGCTCCCTCATGGACTGACCCTCCCCAAGCCACCTGCAGCTGCTCATCTCCAGTTCCCCAACCAGGACCCCGCCAGCAGCTCCTCAACCAAAACTCATCTGCAGCTCCTCAACCACA